GTTGTAAACACCTTCGAACCTGTCACGTACGTATATCGGTTCATTTTCATCACCAAATGAAGTCACCTGAAAAAGTATTGAACACTAGAAAACGGTGAACTCCCTGACAGTATACTGGGTTGAAATCAGGATTGTTAAGTTTAGATACGCCCACAATACTACTAAATCGTTGAATTGAAATCAAAAAGTCTACAATTTTAACTCCACTTAGTATATGATTTAGTGAGATCCTTATTCATTATTTGTCAATTGAGAAGATTGTATACTACAGTCAAGGCAGAAAAGTTAATGAGTAATTATTCTTGTTAATTCTTTTTGAAAATCAATCAAGGTGTCACCTGAAAACTATATGAAGTTAATGTGATTGTAAAATGTTTCTAAAGTTTAAAACAGTTAACCCCTTTGGTAAATTTCAGATAATATTATAATAAGATTAAGTTTATTAGAGTCTTGCGTGGTATTTTAGTGCAATACACTCTATATGTAGTTTGACCATTTTATTTCTTATATTTAAATATCATAATATATTAACATGTGATCAGATTGTACGATAAATTTGATCTTCTCAATGTTGCCTGAATTTCTCAATCTATCGAATCATTAACGACTTCACTTGAATGAAAATCGTTAGCAATGATTCAGAAGCATTCAATAGTTATCCTTACATTACGAAAATATTAAAAATTTTAGATGTTTATTCTTTGTTATCTTACATCACATCCTACCTTTTGTTAACTTGAATATTTGTTTTAGTCGGTATTTTCTTGTTTGGAACTGTAACTAATTGAATAGATGTACTCTATGGGAAGTTTCATTAATTTGTGTTTATCTAGTTAATGATCATAACAAACTATGTAACATGGGCACAGATTCAAATAGATGGATATGTTCATATATAATTACAGGGATTTCTTCCTAATGATCAAATAGTTTTTCAACTAGACATTGTTTTGTGATTACTATTCTAGTCCGCCTGTAGCTTCTCTGGGGGTTACTGTCGGTCCCAAGCCCGGGTAAAGGAGGAGGGTTGGGCATGGGGTTAGCGACCCCATCCCGTAGAAAATCAACTCGCTAAAAAAACGCTAACCAGAAAAAATCATTCAAACCATTCAAACTCTGCCCTGGGAGTAGAAGGAATAATTATGACGTCTCATGATGAAAGCCGAATTCATTCGGAAGTCATGAGGCCGATGCACCTTCTTACAACCAGAGCGACAATTTTTATAGGTACATGGAATGCCCGAACAATGTGAGAGACCGGAAGAGTCTTTCAAATTGCTGCACAAATGAGAAAATGCAACCTGGAGGTGCTTGGAAACAGTGATACACATTGGACGCAGGTTGGACAACAACGACTGTCTTCAGAAGAACTTCTGTTATACTCCGGTCATGAAGAAGAAAATGCCCCACATACACAAGGAGTTGCATTGATGCAGTCCAGAAAAGCACAAAATGCACTAATAGGATGGGAATCCCATGGACCAAGGATCATCAAAGCCTCCTTCAAAACAAAGAGAGAGGGCATTACAATGAACGTCGTCCAATGCTATGCGCCGACCAACGACTACGATGAAGACGCTAAAGACCAATTCTACGACAGGTTGCAGTCGATCTTCGAGAAGTGCCCAACCAAAGACCTGACCATTCTGATGGGAGATTTCAATGCCAAAGTTGGAAAGGACAACACTGGATACGAAGACGTCATGGGACAACATGGACTGGGAGAAAGGAACGAAAACGGTGAGAGATTTGCAAACCTATGTGCCTTCAATAAACTGGTCATAGGTGGCACCATATTTCCACACAAAAACATACACAAAGCCACTTGGATTTCACCGGATCACACTACACAGAATCAAATCGACCATATCTGCATCAACAAAAAGTTCAGGAGGACGATGGAGGATGTGAGAACCAGAAGAGGAGCTGATATAGCATCCGATCATCATTTGCTGGTCGCCAAGATGAAACTAAAACTCAAGAAGCACTGGACAACGGCTCGGACAACATCACAAAAGTTTAATACGGCCTTTCTTCGAGATGCTGATAAACTCAACAAATTCAACATAGCCCTCAGCAACAGGTTCCAGGCCTTTCATGATCTACTCAATGGCGAGGGAACTACCATGGAGAGCAACTGGAAAGGTATCAAGGAGGCAATCGTTTCAACGTGTCAAGAGGTTCTGGACCAATAGAAGCACCATCACAGGGAATGGATCACTGTTGGTACACTGGATAAGATTGAAGCAAGGAGGAACAAGAAGGCAGCAATCAATATCAGCCGAACAAGAGCGGAAAAAGCCAAGGCACAAGCCGAATACACAGAGGCAAACAAGCAAGTGAAGAGGAGCATCAGAACCGACAAACGTAAATATGTGGAAGATTTAGCGATGACAGCGGAAAAGCCTGCAAGAGAGGGAAACATGAGACAACTGTATGATACAGCAAAGAAACTTGCTGGAAATTACCGTAAGCCAGAAAGACCAGTGAAATGCAAGGAAGGCAAAGTAATCACCGACATTGAAGAACAACGAAACAGGTGGGTAGAACACTTCAAAGAACTCTTAAATCGACCAGCTCCACTGAACCCACCCAACATCGAAGCAGCACCCACAGACCTCCCAATCGATGTTGGCCCACCAAAATACCAAAGAAAGGTGATCTCAGCAAGTGCGATAACTACAGGGGCATCACTCTTCTCTCAATACCAGGAAAAGTCTTCAACAGAGTATTGTTAAACAGGATGAAGGATTCCGTGGACGCCCAACTTCAAGATCAACGAGCTGGATTTCGTAAGGATAGATCGTGCACAGATCAAATCGCAACTCTGCGGATCATTGTGGAACAATCAATCGAATGGAACTCATCACTCTACATCAACTTCATCGACTACGAGAAGGCATTTGATAGCGTGGACAGGACGACACTATGGAGGCTTCTTCGACACTACGGCATGCCTGAGAAGATAGTCAATATCATACGGAACTCCTATGATGGACTAAACTGCCAAATCATCCACGGAGGACAACTCACCGACTCGTTTGAAGTAAAGACCGGTGTGAGGCAAGGTTGCTTACTCTCACCGTTTCTCTTTCTCCTGGTCATCGACTGGATCATGAAGACGTCAACGACTGGAGGAAAGCACGGGGTACAGTGGACAGGCAGGATGCAGCTTGATGATTTAGACTTCGCGGATGATCTGGCTCTTCTATCACAAACGCAACAACAAATGCAGGAGAAAACGACCAGTGTAGCAGCAGCCTCAGCAGCAGTAGGTCTCAATATAAACAAAGAGAAAAGCAAGACTCTCCGATACAATACAATATGCACCAATCCAATTACACTTGACGGAGAAGCTTTGGAGGATGTGGAAACCTTTACATATCTGGGCAGCATCATTGATGAACACGGTAGATCAGATGCAGATGTGAGGGCGCGGATCGGCAAAGCAAGAGCAGCATACCTACAACTGAAAAACATCTGGAACTCAAAACAATTGTCAACCAACACCAAGGTTAGAATTTTCAATACAAATGTCAAGACAGTTCTATTGTATGGGGCGGAGACGTGGAGAACCACGAAAGCCATTATCCAGAAGATACAAGTGTTTATTAACAGCTGTCTACGCAAGATACTTCGGATCCGATGGCCAGACACTATCAGCAACAAGTTACTGTGGGAGACAACAAACCAGATTCCAGCAGAGGAAGAAATCAGGAGGAAGCGCTGGAAGTGAATTGGACACACCTTGAGGAAATCACCGAATTGCGTCACAAGACAAGCCCTCACATGGAATCCTGAAGGTCAAAGGAGAAGAGTAAGACCAAAGAACACATTACGCCGAGAAATAGAGACAGACATGAAAAGAATGAACAAGAACTGGATAGAAGTAGAAAAGAAGGCTCAGGACAGAATGGGTTGGAGAAAGCTGGTCAGCGGCCTATGCTCCATTGGGAGTAACAGGCGTAAGTAAGTAAGTAAGTAAGTAATTCTAGTCTATTTACCCACGTTTGACCTCCTATTTCCTATGTATAACTATTGATAAGAATTTTATTATCGTAATTTAATATTCTTACTACTATCAGTACAACTGTCTTCCCATTATCAACTTGTACTTTGAACTATTATGCTTGGTGATGTATTCTATTTAATCTCTGTTTACCATTTTATACGTTAAGGTACATCATGTTAATGAATTTAAAGCATGACTCCATCAAGAATTCAACTTCACAGACGTTCTTGTAATCTTGTAATTACACACAAACTTTTAGAAATAGTTTCGTGATTGTAGTATATCTGAATCAAATTTTCAACTATTGATTTTATTATAGAATAGTTTTAACTGAATAGACTACTTCCTAATAAATTGGCCACCAACTTCTGTTGCGCTCAAATTTACTGATAATTCCCTTTACGTTTTAGTCAGAAAATGTCAAATTCACTAATTAGCTACACATGTTTTGCTAAGTAACCATATACTATGCATAGCGATTTCAGTTATATAATTAACTAACACTGAACCCTTAAATATCCATTCTACCTCATCTAGATTCATTTCCTTAAGATTCACTTTATCATTTGACAATGAAATCGATCAGAAAATCAATCATCCTCTTAGAACCGAAACAACCCCACTGCTCCACTAAGTCATTATGGTTAATTCGTGTGAACTAATTAATCAAAAATAATTTTTTTAGGAATTGTTTACTGGAATGGAGCAACTGTTCAATGCTCCCTATTTTTCAATATTTGTCGAACTAAAGTCATTCTGTGATGTGAAACCATAAAATCAACAATCTTCACAACTCTATGTACTAAGAATCAATGGGGTTTACTTGTATTATCGCTGTTGATTAGCTGAACAAAGTCCACCGTTAATGTATGTCCAACTGTAGGTCTTTTTAGTTAGTATGTTTATTAGATATTTACACGCTACCATTTTCATTCTATATGAAAGAAATTCCATTCTGCTTATTTTTAAAATAAATATTTTATTTCAGTAATTATACAGCTACAACAAAATCTTCATCTTCACCGGTGCCATCGTCTTTGTTAGATACGGAAGAGTCTCAGTCATACAATACAGCTATTTCAACGGCAACTAGGAGTTTTAGCGATATGGGAACACAGACAATCAATTATGATATATTTGATAGTTATAATAAAAATGATGATAATAATAATATTGGTTTAGACGCCAGTCCAAACAGTAAATTATTGCTAAACGGGAACTATACAGAAGATAGTTACCGTTGCAGTGATCAATCATCAGAAATGAACTCCTATCATGATTCTCCTTTGTATCATCAACTTTCATCGGATTCATCTCATAAGCTAAAATCTAACTTTCACCAACATCAAGAATTATCATTTAATACAAAAAAGTTATTTTTGAATGAGAACAAATGTCAACCAGCACCAAAACAATTAAATGAAAGGCAGAATTCATTGTTACATTTGACAAAATCATATCGAAGTCCAACATTATCATCTTTTTCTTCTTGGTCATCAACTCATTCTTTATGTTCAGTAAACTTAAATGGACAACGTGAATCTGTAGAGAATACCAGTAGTGATACAATGCCTGTTAATAAGGTAGAATACGTTTGAATGAGTTATCGTTATTATTACTATTTTTATTATTATATTATCTGTTTATTGAGTGATTTATTAGTGAAAACATTGAGAAGACTCGTGATTTGTGAAGTTTTAAGAAAGATGTTTGGTGAAGTGATATAAATTGACAATGTATGAGCCATTGGTTAATTAATCTATAAAGTTCGTGGATTGGTTGAAGTTGGACATTAACACCGTTGGATGCCAGCCATCTCAGTGATCTATCGGTTAAGTGCTCGCGCGCGAGACTGATAGGTCCTGTGTTGGAATCTCGTGAGGGATCGTAGGTGCGCACTGCCGAGGAGTCCCACAATGGGACGAAACGTCCGTCCAGTGCTTCCAGGTTTTCGATGGTGGTGTAGCTTCAATAGACTCATGATTTCAACTATATAATCTATAAACTCTTGCATAAAGTTCAAACTGCGGATTAAATTTCAATTATAAAAGTAGATTTCATAACCACGTTCATAAAATTGTACTTAATAAACGATATTACGTTAAAATTAAGATTAGAGTCGTTCTATAATCTCCTGTTTTGAATACTTTATCCAATAACTTCAGACTATGAATAAAAATATGTACATATTAATCTATTCCTACTGAACTCAACATTTCTTTATATGCTCCGATCTTACATTAATATAACTATTTATCCTTCTTGTTCTAATCATAATATAGGTTTTACAATCTTCTCATAGTACGCATAATATTCAAAGTACACCGAAAAATACGTTAGTCGATGTAGAATTGAATAATCATACATCTAATCATCAAATTCAGTCAAATGGAATAAAAGTACCAACTAATCAAACCAATTATTATTTACCAATTCATCAATTGAATAAAAATATTAACAGTAATAATAACAATACAAGTTTACATTATTTATCTTCTGAACAAGTACAATCACCTATTTTGGTTAATAAAACATCTAAAACTTGTTATTATAGTCCTGTTTCACAAAATCGATCAGGACAATCAATTCAAAAAGTTATTGATTATCGTAGTACACTTTATCCAGGATTAAAAAGACAGAATAAAGGATTACATGCAACTTTATCAACGGTAAATCTTTATCAAACTCCTACAGATTCTCCAAATCACAGACGATCTGGTAATCATTCAACTAGAATTATTGAGCAAGCAAAGTTGTAGATCACATTGAATGACTTGTTGTTCCATTGCTTAAGAACAGAAATTTCAAAGAAAGTTTTTTTGTAAGTTTGGTTTTTATTTTCTTTAGTAGCAATTTATTTGGAATTCATGAATAGTCACCATCAGGTCACAGTTTCAAATAATGTTTATTCTGATCAATATATGATCACAGTCGTAGTCATGTTACATCCTAATTCATATAATAACAATCATTCTATGTGAAATATTAGTGTAGAATAACTTGTTCCCATGAAAGAAAAGTCCATCCTACATACGGTAGAAAGTGTGGACTGCTAGAATGTTCCAAACTAAGATACAACATGAATTTCAGTGATTTTCTAAATGATGTCAACTAGTAAAAAAAATACTGTTAAATCATCAAAATCTACACAAAATAATATTCGTCTTTTCAATAGGGATTGAGTTTTTAGTGGATTTCTTAAAGCTGAGATATGAAATCATGGCCTGCGAAAGCAACCTATCTGGTTGAAACTATTTAATGTTTGAAATATAATGTAATCCCACTATACGAGTCTGAAGAAACAAGGTCTAATTGGTCTATGATATGATCATTAACGACACTAACTGCTAGAAGTGAAAACTAATGGGTCCTAACTACGTAGTTTAGATGGTTGAGCGCTCATCGTTAGGCCTGAAGCTACTGGTTCGATTCCCAGCGAGGTTGTGTGTGTACACTGATATAAGGCGCCATACTTGGTTGTTTAACTGTCCAATGGTTACGGGTTTCCAATGGTTGTTGAACTAAAGTCAGACCTTGATATAAACTAAAGATTTTTTTACTTCAAGTTTGACCAATAAGATACCAGCTGACCAAATTAGCTACGGATAATAAACCATTTAATCAGGTACTTTTGTGTGAACGACTATTCAGCCTAAAGATAACTTATATCACGAATCGATATCAAGTAAAGAATTTAGAAATTATAGCATTTATTAACTTTTTCGCATTACTCTGAAACTCCCAAATATCTCTCAGTCACAACTATTTGCTGTATCTTTCATTCGAATGTGAAATGGGTTGAAGCACTAATTTATCTAATTTCAATTTAAAGCAATCATCAGAGAACGAAGAAAGTCAGACTCATATAATCCATTAATTTTTGTGTAGTTCTTCTGTCAAATATTTTAAATATATATCAGACTTCAGAATCAACATTCATACAGATTAAAGGTTGAATAAGCTATGTGAAATAGCCACATTCTTTTGAAATGTTATGCACATCCTCTTGTATCTACTGTATTCAATGGATATAATTTGCTGGATTTCATGAATTCATTTAGTTCACTTGTACCCATTTATCATTTTTGTTAGAAGGTTCACACAAGATATTAAACGATTGAAGTGAATCTGCAAAAAGCTCTGGAATATGTTTATATGCTCAATAGCACTCATTACCGAACTGTGTATATAAACTGAGAGAATTTAAATTGCATCACCCAGTACCAGAGTTGTCAGTCTTTCGACTATTTACATACATTAAGAAACGTAAAAAGTTTATTTTGGCAAGATTTTATTCTTATTCACTCAAACATCCCTCTTTATCTTAGATTTGACGCCTGAAATAATACTTCTTTATCCTTGCACACAAAACAAAGGAAAGAAGATATATGTGCACAATGATGAACAATGTTGATTCATATAAGTTGATCGCAGTGTAAAAGCAAAACTCTCAGTGAACATTGAATAACAAAATAATTCCACTAAATAAGATTCAGTACTAATCAACGTCCTTGTAAAATATAGCTGTTACCAGTTTGAATAATCGATTACTTGAGGTTTGGATTTTCGAATAATTGAAGTCTAAGATCAATGGAAGCTACAGCGGGATGATTTTTGATTATGTTAAAGACATTATCTTCAAAAATTGTCAAAATATTTACTGTGTTTGAGGTACTTTACAATAAGCTTTCTTTATATAACTCTTTAACACAACCAGCTTACCATTTCAATGGCTATTCAAAGTAGCCCATAATAAGATAAATGTAAGTAACGTAATACTGAAATGAAGCCTGATATTATCGAAATTTTGTTCAAAACTTTACTTTAAATACTTTACATTTGATAAAGACGTCAAGGGTTCATATAGCCTGCATGAAGGAACTCGAATTTCCTCTTCAGTCGAGCAAACGGAATAAATAAATCAGCATTAATATACATCGAGTTTACTGTTAGATAGACAATATTAAGCTTTAAACTTGCATTTCGTGATGTCTCAAAAACAGTATGTACTAACAGCTATCAGAAAATTCTGCTCGTGCAGACATCCTAACTTGTCTGACTCGAAACTCCGTTTAAAGACAGCTCCCACTAACTGTTTAGGCCAACTGACGAGTTTAATTAAGAACTAAACATCATTCAGAGATTTCATAGAAACTCTCTCTAATTAGCCACCTCAGTCAATTATATGTTACGACACTAACTTCTATCGAATAATAATACTGGTTTTACTGGATGCAATAAAGAATTCCTAGTACAAAATATGTAATGTTGAGACAGAATTTCCTATTGTAACCATGTAACTTATAAATATCCAAGTAATATATATACATATATATATATATTATTTGCGGTTAGATACCGTTCATACTCATTCGTATATGTTTACAATCGGTCTTGCTTCAGTACCATCTCTTTCTATTCCCTATTATATTTGATGTATGAATTCTATAGTGATCCCTTTTAGTTTATCCAAAGGATAAAGAGGGAGATAGACAAACCACTAATATGGGATCGCCTACGTTTCTCAGAAATTATGTTCGCCAGATATTGTACATGTTTTGTTAGTGTACAAGTACACGACATTATAAGAGATAATTAGTTAGTTTTCGACTTCAAATATATTTTCAGAAAATGAGGCCTCAAAATTTTCATCAGGCTCCCCACAAATTTATGCAACTAATCTAATTCCATAATGGATCGATCAAAGCCCAATTATAATCACTTGCCTCTGACTAATATGTGTTTGAATCATCCAGACATTTTCATAAGTCAAACGCCTTTTTGGCATATAACACTATCTTAAACTGACAGTTAAAAAACTGAAATATACTCATTCACTACCTAATCATATGATTATTAGTACTAAAATACCAAACCATCTTATTGAAACATTTGCCAAGGGTATAAAATATGAATTAAGTTTTACGTTAAATTATAAATTATTTACTAGTTAGCTTGTTTGATTTTTAACGCTATTTAAAATGATGGATGCATTTACAATACGGTCGTTATGGTAACATTCTTGCACTGCCACACACACACACACATGTATGCAATGTACATTACAACTTTATACAGAGCCAAACAGAGAAATATCTGTTAGTGAAAAGTAGGCCATAAGAATTCACTTTAAAAACGCTTTTTTTACATCATTTTATTTGTTCAGTCTACAGCCAATTATTTCTTTGGGAAAAAAAATGGTTAAAATGAGATTGAATATAAAACTAATTTTATGATGAATATAATAAAGCATGCGATTTTCCAAATATTTCCAGTTACTTGTAATTGCATTTAGGGATACAAATAAAACAGTCTATTCGACAGTTTATTTTTTCACTTGGAATATAAGATATTGTAACGTATTTATACATAGATTAGGTATGTGAATTATCAATAGTGTTTAATATTCAAAGCCTGCAACCATTGATTTGAATATTATCCTTAACATCGTTCATCAAAGAGGTGTATTTCTTATCTTTATGATAGGGCTTTATACCCTACTAAAAAAATATAATATTGAATAAGATGGTCACTATGATTAGTTATAAAGGAAAATATTACACATAAAAGTTGATTGTCTAATCAATCCATTTTTATGAGCCATCAAATTAAACAATTTCTAAAAACCATCATCCCAATAATCAAGTTTTCATTTGTGCCCATTTCATAGCATTTTCTAACCTCCGATTAAAAAAAAACACTGAATGCAAATTATATTGAATAATTATTTAACGCGTAAAACTTAGTATTCAATTAACAATATAGTATGCTTTTATCTGTTATTACTGTTTTACACAAGTTTTCCATTTATTTAATGCATAATGATGATAATTTAACTCATTTGTCAGGTACAGATTAATGTTCCTCGTCTTTGAGAAAAATTTTATGTGTGACGGTTAGTGATATTTCCCGGCTCCACAAACCGAAGTATTAGGAGGAGGACTTGTACCCGGTACATATGAACGATAACCCTAGCTTGGTTGTCAATAGACCATCTACACGTGAATCTCTCAACCATCGTGTACCCTTGTAGCAATGTGTGATCCACCAGGACTTGTCAAATATACTACTTTCTCCTCTTGGAAAGTCCTCTTTGTATTCATGTGTATCATCCGGATTATAGAAGAATGACTGAAGACACGAACAACTAAAGATTACTAATATACTCATAATACTTAATGAGGAAGGGAAACAAGTACTAGATTTAAAAACGCGAACCAATGTGGAAAACCCATTTCTAACTGCAGCAAAAGTGAAGAGCATCCAGAATACAGGGGGTGTATAGAACACTAAAATCTTTCAGCACTCAGTTCGAAACCACATAATAAGTCATTTTCTATTTTTTCGAAACAGAAATTAAATAACTTGACCTAAAGTAAATCCGAAATGCCATCAGCCTTTATATTTATTTTTTGTAGACATCAAAATACTCATTTTTAACAGGTTAAATGATATTGATTAGGTGTTATTAGACCAATGGATCATTTATAAATTTAGTACAAATTAATTTTACGCTGATTATTGATTAATGACAAAAATTGTTGGAATAGTACTTGGTAAACTGATGGTTTAAATTGGAAAAATAAGAAGTTATGTAAGATGTTACAAATCCTTAATCAATTTCAATTTCTTTTCAAAGTGAACATAATATAAAAAGATAAACTTGATTCATTACGTAACACATTTTAGAATAATAAATTTCATTAAACAAGCTAATAGATTTTAAGTGATTGATTACTCAATATATTGAGATGTTATGTCACCAGTTTGGAAATCAGTTTAAACTTCCACCGATACATCAATTCAGTGAACAGTAAGTATCCGCAGAATTGAGTAAATTGAATCTAACAACATAAGAAACATTCTAATGACGAACCGAAACAATGAAGCAGGAAATGGTGTCATTTGATTTTGATTTTTTCTAAGTAAGGAGAATATAAATGTAAATGAATAATTTGAAATTCACAATACCAAAACTAACTTACAGTGGATCCAAATCTCCTTAAGGTTTACGTCATGCTCTGTTGCTTTTGTGTATGATATATTCACATAAATACTGGATATCCCATGTTTGTATAGTTACACAAATATAAATTTGTTAAGTTGAATGTGTTTCTTATGAATTTTAGTTTGCTTGTGAACCAAAGTATAACGACCTGTTCACTTGAGGTTATTCTTAAGGCTGAACGCACAAAATATATGTCTTATGAACATAAGCAGAGATGGATGGTGACTGCTAGTAGAATCCGGGACGCTCATCTCGTCCTATTATGGGGCTCGTCAACTGGATTTACCCACATCCCAGAGTTGATGTTCACTCCGCGACTCCAACCCAGCACCATACAAAAATTGATGTCTTATGAACAGTTTTAATCAGCTATTTCTCTTTAATTACCTTCTTGTGATTTGTAGGCATCTGATTTGTTTTTTGAATGATAATAAGTCGAATAGAATTCATATGTATTATAGATGTAATACCGACGGAAGACTGCAAAGATTACAGATTGTTATATTGTATAAAAAACGATCAAAACCATATTTGAAAACATCAACATTTATATTTTGTTGGAAACAGTTTACAGTCACATTTTGAATAAATTCATTGAGTGGCAGTTGATATTAGTTAATTAATAACCTAATGTATGAGCAAAATATAAAATATCATTAAATCAAACTGCAATAACCAACAAGTGCAACTTATTTACTGAGTTACATAATTAACCATTCCTAACAGTAGGGATTATGAATATTAGAGCAGTTAATTAAAATAAACTAATGTAACAAACGTGGTAGCCCGATTTCTTTATTTAAGGGCCGTATGGACCCAGATACTAAATCAGGTGAACTGCACTTATGATACCATTTTTAGCTAAGATACTGCCATTCATTAACAAAACAATGTATGCTTGTCTTGGGTTTACATCTCGACTTTTATTTGTGACATGACCAGTGGAGTCTAATCTGTATCTAGTGGAGACGGTTATCTACCTCAGACAACATCATGGATCGATTAAAAGTCACACATTAACACTGTTGGAAGTCAACACAGTAGTCTGGAGATTAGGTGTTCCCACGCGAGACCGAAGGTCCTGGGTTAGGGCCCAACGAGTGAGGTCGTGGATGCACACTGCTGAGTCCCTTACTAGGACGAAATGGCCTCCCAATGCTTTCAGATTTTCAATGGTGGTGCAACTTAGGTCGACTCAGGAATTCATTTATTAAAAATACAGTTGTCTTGGAGACTAGAACCTAGGTAAAACTGAGACTTGAAAAGTACTTATACTTGTTTAAAAATTCTTAATAATCACATTTAAACAAGTCAATCAATAGGTGAATAACTGTAATAATCTCAGATCAGACATTGAAAGTCATTAGTTCTGAACTTTTAATTATACTTCAGTACAACGTCCAATGCTACCTAACTATAGAAAGTACATTAAACAGAATTGGGGGGGGGGTGAACTGGTGGTTCTATTTTAGTTTATTTTATTTGACGACAATCGAACACATGATTAAGTTCATACATCTACAATTGCCAATATTGATGATGACATAATCAAGATAGAAACCCTTTAAGTGAATATATATATATATATATATATATATATATATATATATATATATATATATATATATATATATATATATATATATATATATATGAATGTTCAAACATGAAACTAAAACCCTAATAAATATTGTCCTCAGTTTTATTATATGCGTTATAAATTGTTAATAAAATATAGATTGTTTTTGCATATAATTAACCTTCTTAGACATAATTTTCAAACCTCACCATTTTTTACAACTTGGTCTTATACACAATTATTGGTGTTTATGCGTATCTTGAATTTAGTTCATTACTATCCATGTATATTACAAAAACTAATTCTTTTACGTTCGTATTTGCATATTGGTGTAGAACTTTCAAAACTTTTGATAATAACTAAGGACTTCACTTTTGGAACATTCATATGGATACTCATTAGACTAGTGAATTTGAACTGAGACTAATGAACCAAGCCACCCTATCAAAAGTATTTACAACCAGCAAATATCACTGGATGTCATGATCTCTGTGTTGGGATCATTGAGCTAAAAGAATTAGTCCCAGATACTATGAAAAGTGAATTTTTAACATTTCACCACTGCATAGAAGCTTCAGATTCAGTATTAGATCCAAACTGTTTTACTGACTAACTAATATCCACCATTAAGATGTTTGACTACATTTAATTCATATATTGTCATAAATATAATCAGAGAATCATGTAGGTAATGGTATCTGTAACTGGAAAGAAAATTATTGATATACATTTTCGAGCTGATAGTAAGTTCCATAGTTTCAAAGATTATTATTTAATATGAACGTAGAAATATTTGTGTTCAATATGCTAGAAAGCTTACAATAAAAAATAGGTTAAATAAACTGGAGAACTTTCACAGCTATCCAGATGTATAATTTGTGACTAATATAATGTTTTAAGACCTTCAATATATATAATATACATAACCTGTAAGTACTGTCCAGGAGTGGTGTGGTCTACTTATAACCACATAAGTAGTATATGGTGTGGGTCAGACATAGAATGTATTTTGGCAGAAGACCGATGAGGAAAGAACTGAAATGAAGCGCAATCGTTTGGAAAATGCATGAGCAATGGAATAAGAGAAGAAACAGTGAAGATTGAAACAATTGGTTGTTAATTTGCAAATTGACTGTTCATTGTTTGGTAATCAGAATTTACTGAGATAGTCTGTAATTTTGCTTAAATACATTCGATTGTCCCCAACTAGTGTTCTGTTCACTACACAGGTACTGACGAAAATAGGCTTGTTACGTTAGGTAAGTGGGGCAAATTTCATTCTTAAAAAAGAGTATGTTCCACCACGACTGAATAGTCGACGGTGGAACTAATTATTATTATCACTATGTTTTCAAATAAAATGAAGCTTCAACTTATAAAAACATTCAAGAGAAGCATTGTTTATTGAAAATTAATCACTATGATTTATAATTTACTTGATCCTAGATTTAAACCACGTGAATTGGAACCAACCTCCGTTAGACCTACATTTCACTGAATGTACACAATTCAGTGATCAATCATTTGCTGTATTTTACCCTGTATACTCCCTGTGATTATGACAACGACAATATTGAAAAATGAAGTCAAAAAAGAGAGTTGAAATGATAACAATACATTTTCTTGTGTACTATTACTATCTTTTTACATAATGATTATAATTTCTTTTATAATTGATAATTCATTTAAATTTATTAGTTTATCAATTACTGTGTTTATTATCATTATACAATCCGACAGATATCTTAGTTCCATCTCACTCTTAAATGGATTTACATTTCTGATAACAATCCTTTCATGAAATTACCAAGATTTGTGTAGACTTTTCTAGCTATTTTAATCGTTTCTTATTTATATATCCAATCATCTATTACCGCAGAAATAAAGCTCTTCTAAGTGATTGACTCTGAGAAGAAATACTCAAGTGTTGTTTCATTTTCTTTTGAAAATTATTTCATTTACCTCATTTATTTGCTTAGCAGAATGTATATTCGTGTGTATATACGCACTCATTTTCTGTCTAAGTACCTTGATTGTATGTGTACAAAATTTTCTTGATTTAGATTGACTTACTTTCTTCTTTTGTAACTAAAAGCTTTGAAGTACTATGTTAAGATGATCACTGATAATTGTCTCGTCGTTAACTCTAGAAGGACAAGTAATAAATAAATTCATTGTGTAACGACAAGATTTCTGAAAAACTACTAAGAGATTGTGGTTTGTATTTGCCACAGATTGATCTTAGGCGAAGATATCATTCAAAACCAGGAAGCCCTGGACAACCGTTTCATCTTAACATGAGACTCCTTAAATTAATTCAAACTCTACAAAATCCATTTCAATTAAACTATCAAGAAATTGGTTAACAAATCCGTAGAGAAAACTATCTGATTGGTTGGAGGTACAAGTTGATATAACACAACTCTATATACATAGTACAGATTCTTATAATGACAGCGTGGATCAAAGGGATAATAATGAAGGGATTGAACCAAGCACCATGGATAGGAATAGCACTACGTAAATCATTGAGATGCAGAAATATCAGAGAATGCCAATGTGCAGACGATGGTCGAGAAGAGCCATTACTGTTGGTTGGGCTATGTTGATTAAGTTTCAATCGGTCCGTAATGTTAACTGGTTAGACATCGTGATAGTTTTTTATTTGATGTTATATAGGTTCAAAGTAGTTTGAATGAAACATTGGATCTAGGATTCATTCTGAGTGAGGTTTGTTACCAAAGCATTTCTACAAAATTAATAGGATTTATACTTCCTCTCTACCATCTTTTTTAAACTTTTGTCTTGATATAACATTTCTGTTCATGTAATTAGATTATCCTTATTGGAATCTCAAGCAGAACATTGGTTTCTTCAAGATTGTATGAATAGCTCGTCGAAGAACATCAATCAAAACTAAATCCCTCTAGGGCTTCCTGTGGACTCTTTTCAGGTACGAAACTTATCGTGACTTTAGATCGCCTAATCATTGTCCAGTTGATTATTGATAAATATTATAACATAAGAAAATCTAAATTCATTCAGTATTGTTTGTTTGAATCTTCCCATCGATTTGTTAGGACTGCAACTGGTCAGTCTCTAATTGGCATATGTGCATACTGTGCATATTGCCTCAATATAGCCTTAATTCACAAGCATGGTAAGCAGAGATGGATAGTGGCTAGCAGTGGAATCCAGGACGCGCGATTTGTTCTATTTGGGACTCGTCATTAAGGCTATATTGAGGCAATACACACAGTATGCACATATGCCAATTAGAGACTGACCAGTTGCAGTCCTAAACACATCGATGGGAAGATTCAAACAAACAATACTAAGTTGTATTTAAACTTCACCCCATCGCACAAGCAAGTGGCTATCAGGACTCAGTGGCCGAGTGGATGACGCGATGGCGTTTGAAGTGAGGGTACTGGGTTCCAGTCCAAGAGTCAACATCAACTCAGATGTAGGTACATCCATCTGACGAGTCCCAAATAGGACGAAACGCGCCTCCTGGATTCCATTGCTAGCCACTATCCATCTCTGCTTACCATAAGAAAATATGTTTAGATGATTTTAGCAAATCATTTGTGGTTGAGAAAGGTATCTACGAAAATCGAAGACCAAACATTTGATGAACCTGAACTCTAATGATTTCCAGACATGTTCCGATCAACAGAAATAGGACAGAAATGGGGATTATTTTCAAGAAGATAAGTTCATTTTATTCTAATGTTTATAAAATAAATCGTTATAACCTCAATCCGCTTAATTATTCAGCAGATCACCTAAGTTGGATGTATAAGATCTTAATTTATTGTTATCGATTTCACAATTTTATTAAGTGAGTTCAATAAAACGAAACAAATATCAAAGTCTCATATTGTAGTTTAAAATATTTTCTGCATATAATAAACTTGGAAACACGTAGTTGTATCCATACCATTGAATCAATCAGTTTATGTTAAGAAAATCTGAGTAAAATTCCATATAATTAACCTCTTCTATTACAGAATGTAATCAATCATAGTTTTCAAAATTCTTTTTGTCTGGAGTAAAACATTGATTTCAACCACTTTGTTGATCTCAATTATGTTATGTTAAATTCTATCCAATCAATGGTTAGATTAAATTAGAAACTTTCGAGTATGGTACGTTGAAGATGAAACATCAATTAACTGAAAAGCCATTTTCGTTATCATCTCAGTTGGATTATCAATTTCCAAGTAACCTTTCCAGCCATTGAACCTATAATCTTCTAGTCTCATAGTGAGTACAATACATTTTAAACTATCAAGTCAGATTCGGAATTTCTGAATTCAGGACATTTTCACTTTAGTGCTATGATCATTCAACCCCTTTGCTGAGTTAATTATCTCATTTATAATATTGCATATGAACAAAACTTTTACATTCACCACCCAACTTACCTGTTTATTGTGTTACAAGTATCATGTCATGTCATGTTATTATCTATTATTATTGATTGCTACATTGACTGATACGTTAAATATTGATCCTTCAGCTACATACCATTTCTATCAACAATGATAGTAGGTAACTTGCAGAACAAAGAATATAACTCTCCATCTTTAAATTTTTCAGACTGTTCTTATAACTAAACACAAACTAATCGACCTTTCTTATCGAATATCAGACTAATGCTAGAGTAAGATCAAATTCTACATAAGTCAAAAAACACATAACTCGTAATGTTTGTATTTAAGTTGAGAAACAAATTTCTAACGAACCAATCTTATTTAGATCTTTTCTATTATCTTCTCTTGTCATTGATAAGTTCATCCCCAGGACTCATACTGAAGGATAAACGAATGAATTTTAAATCTATATAGGATTTTTATGGTTACATGTCATCATTAAATAACCAACTACTCTGTATGCATCCTTTACCACTAATGACAATTTTCAATTAGGGAATAAAGAAAAGATGAAGCTTTTATTAAACAATATTATTGGTGAAACATAAGTATTACTTGACAATTCGGAATAAACTAACTAGTTTGCACATAAAGTGGTATTTATTTAGGAAATTTATTACCAATCCCCCACATCTATGTTATCAACTATACATTGACTCTACACAATGTGCCACAGGATTTCCTTACTCCCAAACTTCCAATCAGAATAGTAGAAGACAAGACAGTTGGTCATAAATACCTTTTAGGATTTTGACTTACAGTTTGTGTGGTCATATAAGTGAGAGTGAATACCATAAAATTTCGATAACTGAATAACTAAGTTATGTTCGATGCAAGTTATGTAATAAAATTATGGTTAACTGTCAGGTATTTTCAAACTATAAAAGATATGGTAATAAACAGTTAATCAAAAGGATGCTTTTAGTTAAAAAAAAGAAATGGACTGTAGAATAATTCCTAACTAATTAATTTTTCTAAAAACATATGAACTCATTAAAGAAAAACTATCTAATTTTAAATTATTTCTTTTCCTACATCTGTGTGATAATCCATAAGTCTTGTTGATTGAACACTATATTCGGATCCTAAGCTATTCTCGTAACCCCTAAGCTAGAACTACACAGCGACTTGAACACGAAGGAAAAGGCACAAAACATGCGGGAAGCAATTTACTCCGAAGGTTCATTTATGTACAGAAAATATAGGGTTTTTATAGAAATCGCCCCAACAATATTAAAACGCGTTTGACTTTAAACATGGTTTCTCCATGTTCACTTATAACCTCTTTCTAAACCATAAATATTAGTAAGATCTTATTGATCAGAAAGATTCTTTAGAGAACATGTTTGGAAATAGAGAACATTCAGTTATTTAAGTAGTACGAAGATATAAACATCTTTCCAAAACATTTGAATACTTGTTGAATAGTGGGATATGATTGGATTTTAACGATTAAAATTGTGAATTACTGATGCCCCTAAGTATATAAGGTTTCAATTCTTTATTATAAGGGCATTATCTAAGATGGATGACATTATGTATCGAAAGTTTTTTTTAAAACATGTGATTTTTCTTTTCAATTATCTGTGAATATAAAGATGTGGTTTTCAAAATCACAATTTCTATATACTTATTTTACTACTGAAATTTATTAAGTAGGCTAAAAATATCTGAAAATTATCTAAAATTTCTACCAGTGTTATCCATTTTCTGAATCAATTCAATTTATCAGTCACAATGAAATGTTTGGAATCTTTTGTACAGGCCAACCGTTTCTCCCACCTTGTGTTTACACCAATGGGAATCTTCTAAATCTGGGTAATTTCTAAAATGCGAAAAGTTAATCCATGGTTAATCATGTTTTCCTCTTAATAAGTGAAGAACGTGGGTGACAAAAAAGCTGATCACAAATATGTAAAACGAACATTATCTACACTTCGTATGGTTTCATCTTCTCATAATTATGAGACCAATAGTTGTTGTTATTGGACTAGATGGCGCGTAGAACACGTCCTTTAGTCCTTGAAATTATTTTATTAATTTTCTAATGAAAGTACCACTCAGAAACTTCTCTGATCACATGGGCTATACTAATGATCTTTGAAAAAAGTAGATGGTGGATTTGCTAAAGATAGTTTTTATAAGTATATAATTTTTGATTGATTTTATCCTCTTTAGCTTATTTCTAGAGTGATATTGAGTAGGTTTTGTTCCGTTTTATTGACAATGTGATAATTACTACTACGGGGTTTTGTGGGGGTCGTCAAACTTCACAGGTTACACCACGGACTGATCTTAGTTAGATCATTGATAACCAGGAAATATTGGACAGACGTCTCAGCTTTGAGGCCTATAAGTCAAATTATGAGATCATGTATGCGCACTATTGAGGAGTCCCATACAAGCCGAAACACGTTCGATGCTTCCTAGCTTCCAATCTTCATTTAACTAAGATCAGTCCACGCTGTATATTGTGAAATGCAATAAATTCAGGTATCCAAGGTGAAATCTATAGAAGGATACAACACTTGATACAATTGTAATATCTTGGAAACAAATATATGAGAAGCTTTTCAAACTGTTTTTTATGTATACAAGAGGACTCATCATGACAGCGGAAAGTAGTTTAAAATATCGTGAACGATATTTAATCATTATTTTAGTGATAAAGTTAATTTTTCTTTAATTTTAACTTCTCGACACCTCACTATTTAAGATGCTAAATACATAACTGTCCATTCGAATGAAACTTGATTAAGAGTTCAAGTGTCAAATAGTACGTCCCAGAATTCATATCGATTGCATCAAACCAACTAACATTCGAATATAATGGACACTATGTTAAGACATTAAAGCTGGCTGATACACTGTAAATTGGTGGACAAGATTGAAGTAACACAATATTGTTTACTACTCAGTGATTATAAGTGTATTAAGTTATAGACCAACTTAGTTGATGATGATTTCAATGATAATTTTGCATCAACAATTGTTTTCCTCTCTTTTAGAACTACACATAATTAAAATGAAGTAACCACTCTAGATATCAACATAAAGAATGTCGAAGATTACAAATAATCATATCATTCATTAATGTCATATTTCACGATCTAATGAACAATATATACTCTCAGAAACCTAAATGGAATACCAAGAGAATTTATGAATACATTCAATACTCATATTTTTACTGATTAACTGACCAACATGAACTATTCATTCAACGTCTTTGTTTATCTTTCTATTCTCATTCAAGTAGAAACTTATCAGTATTGAACTCTTTTTTTTGTGAATCACTATAGTTCTATACTTTAACATTAAATACAATAATATTAATAATAATAATAAGTGTATTAATTTTTAATTGAATAGTTTTACAAGAATTAGAAACAAACAATAGGTCAGTAGGTCAATGAACTAGAATGTAACAATATAAATAAGTTGTTATTATTCTTTTGTTAATGTTTTAAACATGAAATCAAATTATGATAACTTGTGAATAAAATAAGTTCAATTGATTATAGTAGTATATCTAAGATAAAGTCAAAGTATTGACGATTGAATTGGAAGGGGTAAGTATAGTTTATAAACCGGACTACGGAATTATATTATAAAATTAGATTATTTTGTAAAGGTTTAATCCCTACTTTAAATAGATCTCATTTACTTACATTTGTAAAATTCACGGAACCTTAAGAAATAAATTATCTCACCATGAAAGGGAAAAACATCTTAGATATTACAACCATAGCTTTTATAGGAATGACTGTTGTATACAAATTAACATAATCATTTCATCACATTTTATTATAATCAAATGGAGAAACACTGAAATAAAACCAATCCAATATGATTTTAAGAAAGGAAGCATGAAAAAGAATCAGTAGTTAATTGAAATTACACAGATTCAATTGATGAGCAACAGGTTGCCTAATCATATGATCAGAAGCTAAACTAAAAAACGTGTAAAGTAGTGAAAATAAAGTGAATAAAACATTTGAAAATGACCAACCTCTAACTGGATCATTAGAATAGACCAATTTATACTTGAAGATTTATTATTTATTTTATTTAAACATAAATATTGGTACAAAGGGTACCAGATATATATGCGCCACACAAATCTCATTTGATTTGTGTGAGGGCTATGATGCTGCCCGGCTGCCCAAACTGAAGCAGGTAGTTTTCCTAAGGAGCCACACCCAGAGCCTTCGATTTAAAGATCTGATCCACAAGGCAGTGGAGCATCATGAGGAGATGCAGTCCCATGGTAGTCGGTGACCAACGATTGATTCATACGCCATTTGTTCCCTCAGGATACTGGAGCCCATGTGCACCATTGGTTGGGAATCAGGGTATTCCAACTCCCCTATGTGAACTCGCCGTGTCCACCAACCTGGTTAAAGCGCCGGACATTCGCTTTTCGTTCTCTCAATTTCGTAGACAACGTCCCTGCAGCGATAAGGCAGTGAGTGGGACTTCCCTATCAGAGGCTATATTCGCTGGCCATGTGAGAGCATTTCGAGAGGGCATTTGAGGGATTCTAAAATACTCATCAATTGAAATAGGTGTTGAAGTTAACATTGAAGACATCATGATGAAAACTAGTAGAAGTATATTCGAAATCTATTCTATACTTTCTAAAACTTGATAAGTGAACTTTTAACTATGAAAGAAAATTAATATTAAATTTTATTACTTGGATATATGCGTAAAATAAAAAAATGTATTTGAAAATACACGGCAAAAAAATTGGTAAGATTAGAATAAGCCTGTTTCTGTCCTTTTTCATCGATTCAATCTTTTCCATGAGAGAAATAAAATCCTTTTCTACATCACGAAGTACATGCAATGGTTAAGTCGATAGTTGTTAAAAATTGAATTTTCCACAACATTTAGCCCAAAATCTTTATTCAGGAGCATGTAAATAGGATTTAAGAGATGACGGATTTCTGAGACATTTTCGGATGAAATTATTCGCAAATCAACAGCAGACGCATGAGAAATATAAATTAAAGGTTAATAACACATGCTTTCGTCTTATACTTGAATTCCCTTTAACTGTTAATATGTATAAACCCGTTGGAATGAGCTATTTTAAACCATGTTCTAACTTTGATTTAGCTCATTATATAACGCAACCTACTACTTAGTTTTTGAAATTATACTATACTAAGAGGATATCACTTATCCCTCAAGACGATGATAGAATTATAGCACAACAATGAATGGTATAAGAGTTCAAAAAACCTATTCACTGATATCTTGTTTAACTGGTAATATTTCTTGAAGTTTTCAATTGAATGGAAATCAGAAAACAGAGTTTAACTAAGGGTTTATTAACACTTAAATGAATAAAGTGCTTAGCCTTTTACAAAATAGATGACAGCAGTGCTGGTGATTATGAATTAGTTGGAATGTTAAGAATTGTGAAGTAAAGGTAATTAAAGTTTACTGATTGGCCGAATATTTTAGTTAGTCACACTTGAGTCTCTTTTAAACACATGAACATTGGTACTAGGAAGCACCAAATATATATGCACCACACTTCATTTGTGTGGGAGCTGAAATAACGCCCGGGCATCCAAACTGAAGCAGGTAGTTTTCTTGAGGAGTCACTCCTCGAGCTTGAACTGAATAGGTATCTCCAAGATTAATATTGACTATGATTACATCTCGATTATACTTGAACACATGTAGTATTACAAGTCATAACGTATATTTTAATCTAGATGTCATTAGATTTTGATAGCATTTTGTGCTCATTTTCATCTAATTAATTTTTTTCAAAATAGCACATTTATGTTAAGAGAGTAAAACGTGTGAATCCATAATCGAAAAATATATTCTAAACAAGCAGTAAGTATACATGATAACTATAAATCAATCAAAAAATAAGTTTTTGAACGTGTTTCTCTAAGCTTATACCTTAAAAGCAATAAATGCTATCAATATGACGGACAAACAACGAAAACTGCATTTACTTCGCGTATTCGAAAGCGATTGTTATAAAATGTTTCTAATGTGATTTATAGATATAGAAGTGGACAGCGATCAAACTTTCCTTAGCTCTGGCAGTAAATAATAAGTGACTTGAAACATTTACAACTACTACAAAATTTGATTTTTATGGCTGATCCATTAACTTTCATTCATTTAATCAATTTAATCCTAATTATTTAATCACTGACATGTATAACATGTTGGCTCAGTGGTCTAAGGATTAAGCGTTTGTGAGAGAGATTGAAGGTCCTGTGTTCAATTCCAGTGTACAGAGTCATGGATGGACACTTCTGAGTTCCATACTAGGTATTTAAAGCCGTCCAGAGCTTTCATGTTCTAACTTGGATCGGATCACTTGGATCGGATCAGGATTTCAATGAAATAAATATTAATTCTGATTTCAATTCACTCTCCACTCACTTTAATCATATAGACTTCAACCAAAATGTAGAATATCATTATTATGTTTTGTTCTGATTTATTATCGTATTCAAACTTCCATTTTAACCTGATTTATTAAATTTTACAATTAATTGTAAAGTTTAGAATATTTACAATCAGTGTAAATTCTTCTTTTCATATTCTATAAATCTTTCATTTACTCTTTTTCTGTTCACAGTGTGCCGAAGAAAGTATGACTGTTATGTACAATAACACGGCTAGTGACAATGGAATGTACTTAAGCACAAATTACAGACTATCTCACTAAATTCTGATAACCATACAATAAACAGTTAATTTGCAAAATAACAATCAATTGTCTCAATCTTAACTGTTCCTTCTGCAAACATCAGTCCGTCTTCTCTGATTTCATTGTTCATGCATTTTCGTGCCGATAGCGCATCAATATTGTCCGCTCCTTCTCGATCTTCTGCCAAAATACATTCTATGTCTGACCATCACCATAAACTACTTACGTGGACATAAGTAGCCCACACCACACCACTACTACTACTACTACTACTACTACTACTACTACTAATAATAATAATAATAATAATAATAAGCAATGATAACTTCATCTGATTGTGTAAATTCTTTCTTCTTATTGAATTGAAACATGTTAATCATTGAAAATATCATGTTAAAACTTGCACACATAGATTGTAATCAATTGTGTATTCATTCAATCCATCATTCACCAAGTATTAATATTAAAAAGAGAACAGCTCTAAAGAAAAAGATAAAAATAAATTGTGTTTTTTTTCTCTAATAAACAAAGAACCATTTAAGTAATATTTTATGTATCATATTTCTGAAATTCTTTTATTCACATTCATTTTGATATTAGGACAATGTGTGTGTGTGGATGTGGATGTACAAAACTTCTATGGATTATCAAAGGAAAATCTTGTTTTAAAAAATCACTTCACGTAAGTCAGTCGGATAAAACTTTGATCTGTAACATGTTTTGTCAACAAGCTGCGGTTATCCTCAACGTTTTTTTGGAGTTCAGTGAACATATCGTTTTCAACCCTTTTGAATGGTTTTGATATATTTGAGTGAAATTTTCATCGAAAATTTCATCTTAAGAGTTTGGAGTTATTCGCAAATTCTTTTTATAAACATATGAATGTAGCACAGTACATGAGGCCATATGAAAAATACAAATATTATGTAAGTTAGGTCTTGAAATAAAAACCCTTTATGAAAATTAAACTATAATATATAGCACTCACATATTAGGTGAACGGGAAAATGACGGAAAGTGGTGTGTAGTACACGCTGAGTGAACATTCAGAAAAATGAGGATAATCTCATCCTTTTCGAATACCACTTTTTTATTAAACATTGTTGGATAAATGGGTAGTCAGTAGAAATCGAATATTCACTAATCAATTACTTAAATATGAGACACATTTTAAGTTTCAGGGCTAATGATACTATTTGGTTCTCTAAAACGGAGAACATGGGGATCGATTTGAACTGGGGATTGAATGGCTGAAATGTACAAGCCTTAACCAGTAAATCCTCACTGTATTTTATCCGATGTACGCTTACGTGTATACATTTATGTGGAGTTTCAATGTCAGTCAGTCAGTCAGTCACAACGTTCCAGTTGCCATACCACATTAGCACAGAGATGCAGTTGTCGATTCAAATCCCATAGTGGTAGAAGTAGTAAGAGTATAAGCATTATGTGAAAGATTAGGGTTTGAAGAAATTATTGAAGCAGTATAATACAGTGAAATAAATTTGAAAAGAGAAAAAGGATATGGACATGAAGAATTCAGAAGATTAGAATTTGGTAGAACACAAAGAGTGGATGCACCTTCGCCATTGCAAACGATTTCGAGCCATGTCATTCAAGGTCTCTAACCATCGGTTGCTGTCATCTCGCGAATCCCAACCCGGTAGTCTACACCTACCAACATGGCCCAGTCCACTTGTCAGTGACTTCATTGATTTGTGCCACGTTTTGGTCTGGCCACCCCTAGCTTTCTTCCAACCTACTCCTACACCATGAAACATTGCACGTCGGGGCAGTCGGTGGTCGGGCATACGTAACACATGTCCCAGCCATCTCAACTGATGAAGTTTCACTACTTCATCAGTCGATTTGCCATCCTTACCTAGTACCCGCTTCCTAACAAAACTGCATTACTTACCCGGTGGTCCCAGGATATACGAGCAATGTTTCGAAGACACCTATGATCGAATACTAATAGACGGCGAATATCTCCTACTCTTACAGACCATGTTTCACTGTCATAAAGTAAGAGTTTCAATGTGGGACGAAACAACTGTACGATCATTTTTGTTTCTTTAGCTTATATCAATCCAAAAGTAAACTGACCTGCTGAATTTCTATATTTACCAGTTCATGACATCTGTTCAATTCTACATATTGATACATAGTTAATACAGTATATGTTAAATATATGAATGCAACTGTTAGAATAGATAAGATTTGACTAACTAAAATACTAGATTGATAGCAGTTAGTTTCAACTAATAATACTACTATTACTATTCATATTGTATAAACATTGTGTTAACATGGTAACTTTATTACCAATTTTACATTTCATTAGTTTTTTCTACAAAAAAACTTATTTCTATCTATACTCAAATATATAAAAGAAAATTAATGTGCTCAATAATTAGCTATAGTTAAACTATTCAAATAAAATCAGAAAATGATATGATATCAGTTGATTTATTTTTAAAATAACATTTTTACCCATTCAACTTCTCTACCCGCACTCAAATTTATCTAATTATTGAAATATGAAAGTGTAATAAACAACCAGGATATCTTAACAGGTATGTTAAAATAGAAAAAGAAACAATCAACTATTGTCTGTACTTAGACTTAGTAACTAAATTTAATTTTATTTTAACCAAATTATCGTACCTACATTCTATTGTACATAGTCTTAATGACAGACATACATTATATTTGTTTTCTCTGACTGATTAATTAATTGTTCCAAATAATTTGACTCGTGATAACCATTACTTTTAAATATATATTGGAGCGAAGTTCACATTACCGTAGTATTAGAAAAAGAACCACTTGTAACTATGGTAACTGAAAAAAAAACAATAAAAAGGATAAAAGTATGTATCATCTATGCAGTTTTTTTAAAAAAAAAGAGTACGTTATGAGGTTATTTTTACTCACAAACCAAAATCAGTTGTAGAACTACAGGAGGTCGAACTCAAGATCTTTAGATATGACAGCGAACACTGTCCATTTAGTCAATTTAGCCAAAATTCTATAATCCACATTTCTGACTTCAACCAGGTTATGGGAGTGCTCTAACTGCATATATACATAACTATATATTTTTTTCACGGGTACGTCACTAATCAACTCTCGAATTGGTGGACTTCAGAGTTTATGGTTTCCAATTCAAAGCAAATAGGCTTAAGATCTATTAAGTGTTAGGAAGCAATAGATGACTTATAATACATCATAAAACAGCTCAGTTAAAATATCTTTATATGGCTCTCAGGAGGTTTATAATTGTTAAGGAACATTTATTCACCATTGTAGATAGGAAATGACAGATTAAAAGGTGAAAATCACCAAATACATATTCTTGATGTAGAATTTTGTTATAAAACTTCAACTACCTAAGTCCAGATCAATGTGATTTTTATTGCTGTATGATTATACCACAATGATATATTTCAATATAATTATAAAAGGTACTCACTTTAGGATCACATTTTAGACATGTATTCTTTGTGTGAAAAACCTGGTTAAAATTATGCTATAGTTGATGTTTAAACAGAGGTTGGATTATAAATTACGCCTGCCGCAAGGCCTGAAGGTCAACTGTTTGAGTTAAGTGATATACGTAGCCAATAACGCCGATGGTTGAACAGTTGCAAACAGGTGTCCAGTTCCGTCTAATTACCATTGCTTGTCCAAATGATTGTAGTTAAAGGTGAAGATTACTATGATTAAATTGCGAAAAATCTTCCTAACAGACCACTGGGTAGTGACTCGTATTATGCTTGCTTTTCCTTGATATTGATTAATTTACATAGACCAAGTTTTATTGTGCTAACAAGTCTAAATGACTAGAAATCTAGTGTACAATATTTTGATTTTATGTTCTTGGATATATAGGAAACCATAGACCTAGGTCTCATGCAAGTTGACAATCTTCAAGATATACCCAGTCTTGATCACTTGACGCTAGTTTAAAGCCCACTGGGAGGGTCGGCCCTTTCATGTTTGAAATCACCTCTTGCTGACAAGCGCTGAACATTACGAAACCTATGCTTATAGTTTCCTGGCGACCACTTTCAGCCATAAAGCATAAATAAAGTTAAAATTCCGACTTATATACTCCATTGGCTTATTTTTACAGTGAAATATTATGAAAACTCATTAGTTAATAATAATTAACATTCGCTTATATTATTTTGTGAATGTCTGAACTAAATGATACGCTTCAAAATAATCTTATTTATTTTATTAACATTGGATGATAACATCAGATGCGTTATATTATAAAGTAAATCACTTACTAAAATTGTGCTCTTCCTCGTCATTTATTTTCTCGAACTAAAATAATGAACATACTTCGAGAAATCAACACAGTATGATCATATATAATGGTGACAGTCAACTGGTACCAAGGATGAACACTTTATGCTACTTCATGAGGAAAATACGACTACTAGTAACTTTGTGGCTTGAGCTCTTGTTTCAATCCTACGAAAAAATCAACACAGATCCATTAACATCCCGTTGACGTGTTTAGAGTAGGTCAAAGCAAGTTTTTTCGGTTCCTTTTCTAGTGATTAACATACTTAATTAGTATAGTTTAGAAATCGATGTGTATATTTAACTTAAGACCACTCACTTTTACTCATATTGGTCGATAACCAATAAAATTCCTGGTGGTTGCTAAAATTACAATGCAAACTGTTACTTCATTACAAAGAAATTACGAATATACTCATCGATTTTGAAGTTTAACCAATTCGTTTAACTTTGATTATCGAGCTTTATGATAAATAGGGCTACATTTACAAAAATGTAACCAAACATGAATAATTGCGATCATATTGCTTGATAACCAAAGAAAACGCATTTGGAATATATCTTTTTACCAGGTGAAATCTATCAAATTGTACATAAAATGATTCGAAGTAAAAATCACTTACGTTGACGACAATAATTTTGAAACATTCGAAACCTCTGTCAACTTCCAGTTTCAGTTATCAGATTGTCTTGATTCTTGATACTGAGTCTTCAGTCCATTTTCTCACTTGTTCTATTCTCTTCCAGATTCTCCCAAACATGATGACCTTAACACAACGCCCTAGGCACATAGAGTACCTTCAGGCCAGACGAATATCTACCAATGTCTGAACTCTACAAGACTTCTTTCAAAAGTCAGGTAAAGTAACTTATGACTGAAAAGATTTTAATGGAAATACACAAGTTATACTTCATTCTTAATGAGACCCAACTGACTGCGGATTGTCGATAGCAAGGAAAGAAATGTGCAACTACAAGTTCCACAATTACTCTACATTATATTCACATTTACTTTAATATCTAATAAATCAGTCACAGACGAAATAACCAAAAAAAACTGGTAGACTTAATAATATTTGAAAATTATCGACTGACAAATTTACATAATTTTCACTCAATACTTCTTAATCGGTTGATTGATGTGAATAGTCGATGATAATACTAGGGAATACATGTAGATACATTTATACGCCCATAATTCTGGTCGTCTCAAAACTGCATACGTTCTTATGTCGAAATCAGAATCTAATTACTGTGATTAGCCTTAATTAAATTTATAATACACAAAATAAGTCATTTCTACAAATGAATAACTTAACTACTGTCACTATGATAACAACAGAATTGGTATATATATGCATAATATAAGTATAATATTTAACAAAACGATTCATAAAAACAACCATGGCTTACTTGTGAACACAGTGTATCTAATCAGTGAAATTACCAAATAAACCTTCAAGATGAAACTGGAGAAGACCAGATGAAACCATTCATTGTCACATTTTTTTACAAATGACTAAACTAGAACTATGGGAATATTTGAGAAAACTTGAAAAATTGTAAACCAATCATGGAACTTTTACTAAGAGCATAATGTTTAACTTCAAGGTCATTTCAGTGTTGAAAATGCACAAGCATGAACTGTCACGGTAGATTGTGCTATATACACAACATTTAGACAAACATGTACACGTTCTCTATTTAATTCAACTTATTTTATATAGGTATATAGTCTACCCCTCCAGTCACACCACCATACTAATTTCCTTAAGCCCTGGTAGAAAGATTTAACAGGTGGTGGAGTTCAGTAACCCAACGAGGTCACTGAACATTTGTTAACAGGGTTAGACTTGTTTCAATAAGATATAAATTTCATAAACCAATCCACTTTTTGTTTCATTTGACCTTGAGGACTCACGCATTAAGAAATCCACATGGCATGCGTTTAAAAAATTGTGTGAAATGAAGTCATTACATGAATTTTCAAAATATACTTATGAGCTTTTGGACTCAGATTAGAATTAGAAGAATACTAGACTATTTTATCTATATGGTAATCCGTCTACCTATAGAGTTTTGGATAGTAGGATCAAAATTGTCTGAAATACTTCAACCTTTTCAAATGATCATAGCTAAGTTTTTATTTGATTACCTAGGAGAACTATCACTGCAATAAACGCACTAGCCAATGTAGGATATATTTCACTCGATTGTATTTGTCACCATCATTTATCAAACATATTATCTGTATTGATTAAATGAAACAATACAGTGGAAACAATTCCAGGTTCCCCTTAACATACATGAGTCTAAATCATGAGTAAAACATTAATGAATAATGTGGTTAACCTGAAGAACTTCATTCAAAGTTTAGTTAGTTAACTAATTTCGTTAATTGAAGTTAGCCTCAATGTTCAGCAACTTTATTGTGTCCACTGGATTTGGTCAATCTTCCGTTCATGTATGGTGTGTATAGTGGTATTGCAGTGCAACTTCTATAAATCATTTCATTTTAACCCTTAATGTTTGCTATGTTTGTGTATTTCATCCTATGTAACTGACTGTGGTACACTGGATATATCCAAAGTACATAGCTATGAATAATTCCAGTAGTTTACTTCGGTTGTGATATGAATCCTTCAAATAAATCGATATTTCATCATTATTTTAAGTTTTCAGAGTTAATTAGGTAAAAATCATAGGATCTAGGCTTTCTGTCAATTATAGAAGGGGTTTTGTGGAGATTTAGTATTTATCATAGCTGAAAGCGTGAGTCAATTGAAGCTAGACCACCATGGAAAACCTGGAAACACTGGACGGCCGTTTCGTCCTATTATGGGACTCCTCAGCAGTGCGCAGGTTCGTGGATGCGCACTGTTGAGGAGTCCCATAATAGGACGAAACGGCCGTCCAGTGTTTCCAGGTTTTCCATGGTGGTCTAGCTTCAATTGACTCACGCTTTCAACTATTTCTGTCAATTGCTAATCGTCTTGCTAACTTACTTGTGCCCGTTACCTCTCGCCGAGCATAGGCCACCGATCAGTACTCTCCAACCAACTATGCCATGAGCTCTCCTTTCTATTTGTTCCCAAGTGCTCCTCATTCCTTTGATGTCTACCTCCAATTCTCGAAACAATGTGATATTTGATCAGCCTTTTTTCTCTGAGCCTTGAGAATTCCAAGTAAGAGCTTGCCTCGTGATTTTTGTACCGTAATATATATCCGTCTTTTACTAATTTCCTCACCAGCAAGAAGCTGATTTGTTCTCTCTCACAGTAAGTTCTTACGGATGGTGTCCGGTCAACGGAGATGGAAAGTCTTACGCAGACAGTTCTTTATAAATATCTGTACCTTTTTGGCAATGGTTGTAGTAGTTCTCCAAGTTTCATCTCCAAACAGTAGAACTGTCTTGACGTTCGTAATGAAGATTCTCACTTTGATATTCGTTGACATTTTTTCTGAGTCCCATATGTTCCTCAGTTATAGGGATGCTTCTGTTACTTTGCCAATATAAGCCTTTAAATATGCATCATCGATGATACTTCCCAGATATGCAAAAGTTTCTACCTCTTCCAGTTCTTTTCCATCAAATGTGATTGGGTTGGTGTTCTCTGTGTTGTATTTGAGAAGATAAAGGTCATCAGGATTGCATGATTTATTTGTGCAATACATTTCGAACAATCTGATCACATCTAATATACTTGTTATGATATTTGATATGATAAATAAAAGGTTAACTAAACAGATTTTTCATATAAAAATATCTTAACAGGTATATTATATCTGGTCAATATCGAGGCAATACGCACAGTATGCACATATGTCAATAAGAGACTGACCAGTTGCAGTCCTAAGCATCAATGGAAAGATTCAAACAAACAATACAAAGTGAATGTGGTCACATTGCTCGAAATGTATTGGGCAAATACATCACATAATCCTGATAACCTTCGTCTTCTCATTGAATTATCGAAATTTATTAAAGAGGTCAATTGTTTTAAATTTCAATGACTCCATTGTTTTTGGTTTATCATTGGAACTTGTAGAAATTATCTTCTTGAACAAATAATAATAATTAAATTATCTGGGATTGTAGAAATCTTGTGTAATTTATGGATGTTTTTTATGTTTAAAAATTTTTTGAAAAATATACAGTCGCAGAGTAAGCTGTTGAAAGGTTATATACGTTCGTATCAGTTACCTGGTAGTAAATCGATAAATTGGATACGGATAGTTTGGTGATTTAATGAACTTTGATAACGTGTTACACAAATCATATCATATGCCTCGATATAGCCTAAATTCACAAGCATGGTAAGCAAAGATGGATAGTGGCTAGCAGTGGAATCCAGGACGCGCGTTTCGTACCATTTGGGACTCGTCAGCTGGATGTACCTGCATCTCAGAGTTGATGTTGACTCTTGGACTCGAACCCGGTACCGTCCGCTTCAAACGCGTTATCCACTCAGCTATTGAGTTCTGATAACCACCGGCTAGATATAGCTTTAAAGAATTGACAGCTTGACAATAAACGTTAAGGGACAATAAGTTGAAGTCGGTTATATATGGTTATCTTGTGTGAAGATTTTTGTGCTTTCATTCCGTGTTTTCATAGAATGATTGCTAGTAACGGAAATGAGCGAGGTAAGGTGAGGTTAGCTATCGCTAGGGCCGATCCTTTCTAGTACCTCCTTCCTTTGTGAGAAAGCACCGTTGTTGCTAGTCCTAGTTGTTCTAGAGAAATACTTTATTGCTATCACACAGTTGTACAGTATACATTGTGACTTTATCCTCGAACCTTGGTTTTGGTGCTTTTGGTTTGGTCGTTTTCCAGACGTACTAGAACGTAAAGATACTAGTGTTCTACTTTTCACAGTGATATCGTGACAATGTAACATGGAATAGTAACCATAAAGATAGCAGCTAAAGTAGGGCTATTGAAAACCGGTGGGTATTGGATAAGATTTTAGCCCTAGTTTCAAATTCTCTGAGCAAACAAGTGAAATAAATAACTTTAAATTAGTGGGGAAATAGCATTAAGTTAATAAACACGATGAAAACTTTTCAGCATAAAAAATTCTCTTTTCAGCGATATCATTTACCGAAGCTGTATGATCATATTGATAGTTCTTTTTGCACATAAAGTTCTATCATAAAACAGAGAATCGTTGCATCATTAACAGAGGTATTGAAAGTTAATCAAAATATAAAGTTATGTAACTGTTGAAGTGTGTTAGGAATGAAAGTAATATTTTGTAACGGGATATGAAAGTTTGTCTACTTGATGATTTTGAAGAAAATAGTGAAGAAAACGAATGTATGCTCGAAAACGAATTACAAAGTAAGAAGAGAGTGTTACAACTATGGTAAACTAAGTAACTGAACACATTTTAAATCTAAAGACCTGGTTTGCATTGATGAACTTCCAAAGCCACGACTGTTTCCAAGTTTTAATTCAGCTACCCTTAGAACTAGTCCGCTATAAATCAATAATGATTTTAAATGAGGATACTCGTGAAGATGCTCAGTAATTGAGCTATTGACCGATTTGCATTGACCTTTCGATAATCATAATGGATAGTGTTCATTTACGCTTTTGCAAGGATCACACTTTGTGCGGACAATATGATATGCTCTACAGGAGCAATTAAACTGATAAAAAAAACAGTGAGATGGCTCAAGGCACCAAGTTGTCTTTGACATATTTGGAAATACGTACCACTGGAAAGTAAACCAGTGGTCTTAGTGATTGAGAGATCATTGTGAGACCTGAAAATAATTACTGCACAGATACGTTTTCACCAGAACTAAAACTTTTGAGTATGCAAAATGAAATTCAGGACTTGTCTTTTATGC